GCTAGTGAATAATAATAATAATACATCGTGTGAGTTTCATACAGTGATATTGCTTCTCCATATCATATAGGGACCGTTGTACAGTGCTGAGAACAAACATTTTATGGCTAAACCAAACAAAGACAGAAACAATGCCGTCTGCTGACGAGGGAGCGCTGCCCTGCACTGCCAGCCAGATAAACTCTTACTTTTTATGTTTAAACAAATACCAAGAAATAAAATGTTACAAAAGATGAGTCACAGCAACACAATGTGGGCTTCTCAAAGCTACTTGTACAAAAAAAATGACACTTTTTTTTTGTGGTTTTTTTTTCGTTTTGTTTTGTTTTTTTTTTTTTTGGTCAATTGGGTCTTTGTGAGGATCTTTTTTTTTTTTTCTTTTTTCTTTTTTAAAATCTGTGATTGTGAATATAACAAACAAGCTCTAAAAACATCTAAGACTTAGTGCGTTACAGAAAAAATATAAAATACTGCTAAAAATGTAAGACACCACAATACACTGGGGTAAAAACTGAGCTTATTATTTAAAAAAAAAAAACCAAAAATAATTAAAAAAAAAAAAAGTTCTCAGGAAAAAGTACACCACTTTCTGTTCGAGTTCATCTTGTGCTGTGTTAGTAGTCGGGGCATTTCCAAGGTCTGCCCATTCTCATGGCAAGTAGTTATTGCACAAATGCAAAGAGTTAATTTTTTAATTAAAAAAAAAATAAAAATAAAAATGAAGAGGGACATGAGGGGAACAATTAAAAAAAAAAAAAAAGAAAAAAGAAAAAAAAAGAACCCCCCCCCCCTCCCCAGCCTCCATCTGCTTTGGGATCGATGTCCAAATTCGTACGTGTGACATTCTCACAGCATTTCCAGCAAGGAATGGGAGAAAATGCTTTTCACCACAGAAATGCATAGAGTATTCCGAGAGGAACAACCTTTTGTTTGGCAGAGCTGGTCCAACACTTACACTAGGGCATTTTTAACTCTGATTTGCAGCTTCTTTTTGGACTACACCAGAAGGAAAACAAACCTGACATTGGAAATTTGCCGGATGGTTGGGTATTTTTTTTTTTTTTGTTTTTTGTTTGTTTTTTAGTTTTTTCTAGTGGGACACCCTCGAAAGGCAAAGTGCAAATTTGCTTCCCAAGCCACAGGAGCGATGCTGTGCCCTGCAGCTGCCTCAGCACCTTCTCCTGTGCCCACGCCAGGTGGGACCTGGCACCGGCCCTGGCTCGGCCACGCGTTCCCACCCGGATCTGGAGCTTTTCTGCTGCTCCCCAGGGAAAATCCTGTGTGAACACATCTCGACCCAGCAGCAAAACTCAACCACCCCTCTGTGCCACAGATAATGCACAATGTGGATTTTCCAGAGCTCACACCAGGAATTGTTGCTGCTGCACTTTTTTTCCTCTCTGTTTTTTGTTTTCTTTTTTTTTTTTTTCTCCCTTGACCAACTTTTGAATGGGAAGGAAATCAGCTCTGAATTCAGAAAGTCAAACATATGCCAACAAAGATGAACATCACAGGAAACCAGTCTCTCATTTTAAATGAACACTTGTGAGTTAATTGCTATGTGCTCTGACCAGGGGCTCTGCGTCTTTAGCAAATTCTCAGTAGAGGCTCTAGGAGGCTCAGGGTATTTTCTCTCTCTGTATATCTTAAGTCTCTTCTCTCACAACTGAGGCTTCTTATTCTCAGTCCTAAATTATTTTAAAAACTATTTAAATAATATTTATTAGGCATTTAGATAAAATACTTTTTTCTTTTTTTCCTTAAAAAAAACAAAATGATTGCTCTAGAAAACACAACAGGGGCACAACGATATGGATACTACAAGCCAACACCACCTGCTCTATCTTTAGGATATCCCAAGCTTTCTCCAACATCCATTTTGGGGACAGCAACCTGGTCTAGTGGGAGATGTCCCTGCCCATGGCAGGGGGTTGGAACAGGATGAGCTTTAAGTTCCCTTCCAGCCCAAACCAATGATATGTAAATACTCCTGTTGTGTTTATCTCCAACAAAAAAAAAAAACCAACCCAAAACAGACCTCGACAAAAACAGAAACTGTTAAAAATTAATCTCATAAACAGAAATATTAGATTGATGTCCTAATCACAAACCAGCTCTGTGTATTTCACCTTCTGATGCTGCAGAGAGAGCGAGCTCAGGCAGGGGATGGGAGAAGGGGAGAGCCTGTTCTGCACAAAACCAAATCCACACTGGAATGACTCGACAGTGCCTGGAGAGAGCCAGCAGGGCCCTGGCCATGGGGACAGCAGGTGTGGCTGATGGCACAGAGGGACATGGAACTGCCACGTGGACGCTCACAGAGCTCCGAGCATCAACTGCTGGGTGATGGCTGAGTCCTGGCCCAGGAACCAACCCACAGGAACGTAGGATTTTCTTTTTCCTCCCACCCAGGAATGTGAATTCTCCTGAAGCAGAGCTCACCCTCGTTGGCTGTGGGATGGGAACCCCCCAGACCCAGAGTTTCTATTGCACAAAGACTCCTCACACGGTGCTGGATGTGCTCGGGAGCCAAGCACGTGCCAGTGCTGGGACACTGGGATGCTCCATCAGTGTTTGCTCCCCCCCTACCCCCAAAAAATGAAAAGTGGCTGGGAATGCTGCAAGCCAGATCACTGTGCTTTAGATTATTCTCCTCAAAGAGATTAGGAAATAAGGCACATAGCTTTCCAAGTAGTGAAAGAGTAAATTTCAGGAAGCAAAACCTAAAGGCTTAATGGGAAATGTGGCAACATACAGGATTTTGATGATATGCCTACAGAGTGAAAATAAAATCATTTCAAGATTGACTAAAATCTTTCTCCCACAAAGAAAAAGGAATGACCCATGAACTCCATCTCTCTAGAGAAGGTGAGAAGGAAATGGAAGCCCTGATTAAGGAAAAGGAAAAGTACAATACAGATATGACCTTGCTTATTCCCCACGCTCCTCCTTTCCAAACCAGATGCTCAAGTACTCCCTGTATCACCTGTACCAGCACCCAGAGGTAACCAGATACTTTGGAAACACTTTTAAAGCTAGTAATAACTTACCCACATATAAATAACACATCAAAACAGCACAAAGGGTCCAACACAAGCTAATAAAAGCCAGGGAAGTCTGATTGAAAGACTGATTGCAAAAATATTTTTCCTAGTTACTTGGAGACAAGATTGTACTTCAGAGCAAGTCAAGTGCCAGGTTTTATTTATTCTCTTGAAAGCACGGACACTCGCCTTCCAAGAGGAGCTGCCTAACAGAAAATTTCTACCTCATTCCTACAAATACTTGAATTTTCAGCTAAGGGAGAGCAAGGCTGAGCTGCTTGCTTTAATTCCATTCTTGGCTTGAATTTATTTCATCAGCTGGTTTTGAGATTGTTTTAAATACGTCTTTACCCTCCACTGTACATTGATAAAGGAGAGAGCACTTCATGTGTGCAAATATCTGGGATATGAACTTCCTGCAGGAAGCCAAACAGATGAGGTTTGACCCCTCCTTTCCAATTCCTTGGCTCTTGCACATCTCAGACCCTTGGGATCATTTTTATGTATTCTGAGCATGATCTTTCCTGTCCTCATTAGTTAAACCCATGCATCTCCAGCAGCCTGGTCTCTCCAGTGGCTAATCCCCTCTTTACAGCAGGGAATGGATCTGACAAGTGGGGAATGGCATCCTCTCCCCATTAAAATACATATTGGTTTTAAGCCCTCGCTCACCTACATCCCAAATGATTTCACAAATTTGGCTGCACCATTAAAACCAAGCATACAAATGCTAAATACACAGAGGGGCTTTTCCATCCTGGAATGATGCACAGAGACACATTTAACAACTCCCAGAAATGCATATTAATTACCCACACAGACAGAAGAGAACACAAACTCCCATTCTTGCTGTCAAGAGAGAGGCTGTGCTGTTGTGACACTGCCAGGAATTACACAGGAATTGTGCAAAAATCAGGTGTGGCACCACAGCAGCAGGAAATTCCGGGCATGACTCTCCATTTCCAAAGAACTTTGGATGAAGATTGTACCATGTATTACAAATATCCCTGGAATTCAAACAGAAAGCCAAACACATGACATCACAGGGGTATTCACTTTGCTGCACTGGTCCTGCACTGTTTTGTTATGGTTAAGGATTCAGTTGCTCTCTGCACTCAGCTGGTTCAAAGTCCAAAGAAACTGAACTGATGTGATGAAACCAGCCATTTTAATAATAGGAAATCTACAGAACCGTGGCTAAAATCTCCCAACACCAGTGTGAGTAAAGCAAGCTTGAAACTGGCAGAACTGTCCTTTATAGAAGAACTGGACAAGGAAAAAATACAATAATCTTATTAATTTTTTAAAAGGAGGCATTTTCTTTCAATGCACTTCAGTGCCAGAAGATGTTTGTGAATAGCAATGACAATCAAGGCCAGGAATCCCATCAGGGCTTTTTTTCCATTCACAGGAGTTGTAGAAATGTGGATTTCACAGAGAGCCAAGGATTTTGGGATGGATATGGATGCCCAGGTCTTGGGAGAAGCAGGTCCTGGATTGCACCAGAGGATGCTGGTGAGGGGCTCACTAATAAAAAGTTCAATGAATGACTTTCTTCCACTGGAAAATGACCTTATAACTAATAACTGCTATTAAATATGCCACAGTACCACTTGGCTGGGGGGAAATCATCCCTGAGGAGAGAGATGGCACCACTTACACACCTGTTTTTAAGGCTTTCTGAAAACTTAAGTGCACAGGCCTAACGCTAATCTTCTCCAAAAGGATAAATTTCAGGTTCAGAGCATAAAACCATTTTATCCTTGCATATTAATAAGGTAGGGTATAGTCCATGACCTGGTCATGTAGGACAAATCCATCCCTAGGCATGGTATAAAGAACTTTTCTTGCTATAAAGTCCATTATTAACTATACTTTATATATGGCATAGTCAATATATCCTATAAAAGAGATGAGGAGGAAAGAAGAAATTGGTGAAATTTGGTGAAATTGGTGAAATTGTATTTCTACATTTTAGTGCTCAAATATATGTGAAGGAGACAGGGACTGATACACCCCTTTTGAACTACAAAGGTTATATCAGAGAAGAAATTCAGATCTTGCACTTCCCCTGCCAGTGATTCTCCTTGTAATGTAAAATCAGATTTTAAACTGATGGGGCCAGGGGGAAAGGTCTTTCCTTTGTATAGAATTTTTAATTTCTCAGAAAAGTTGATTGTATATGCAACACAAAGAAAATGTTGATGTTCACAGAGCAGAAAGGGGAAGGCAGAACAACACAGGAATCAACCCAGTCCTGCTTTGCCAGTGTTTTATCCATTTGAGTTAAATTTCGGGATAAGAGGCTACAGCTGGTCACACCACAGCCAAAACTGCCACACACTCATGGGAAAGCCTCGACTTGGTTTTAGGGAATGTTAAATCCACTCTCCACCTAAGAACCAACTTTCCTTCTTCTCCTCTTGTTTCTGAATCTCCAAAAGGAGCTTGGCCACACTCGGTGGCTGAAGACAGAGAACATCCACTGGGCAAAGAGGAAATCAGAGAGAATTTCAGAAACTCCTTTGTAGGAAGAGACACAAATGAAATAAAAATAGTGCCCTCCATGTGCAGGTTAAAAATGTCACCCCTCCACTTTCAGTCTACAACAAACTGCCAAGCCACTGATCTCTCACAACCCTGCTAAAGGCACAGGTTACTGCAGGATTTCAACTGAAATAAAACATTTTGGATCCAAGTGCAATGTGTCCATGCCAAATTACTTTTTTTTCTGTGTATTCTCATAATTTCTATATGGTCAAAATGTGATTTTTTTTTTTCCCTGTTTCTAACCTGCCCTGTTTTTGCCAGGAGCATTCTGATTCATAAAAGCTTTAAGAATACTGGAAATTATTAATTTTAAAATGGGAGATGACAGACTTCTGACGGCAGCTGTGCTTGTAGGGACTGCAGCCACTGTTGGCATTTTCCACTATTTCATCACATTAATTTCTCACATTTCCCCCAATCCTATCTTATGTCAATTTATCAGCTTTGCAGTTTGAATTACCACCAGAATGATGCACTTACTATTTCTCCTATTAAAGGATTGAAAAATAGTGACTTTTAAGTAACTGGACTGGAAAATATTGCATAGAATTCTGGGATGTTCATGATCCCCTTGCTCTATACCAATCCCATATCAACAAGTTACATAAAAATAATGCAGAGATCTTTTAGCTAATGAGAAAGGCACATACTTTTTTCTTTTTAGCTGTAATATTGTTCTTTCCTACTACAGCAAGGAGTTTATTACTAAAGGACTAATTCATGATATGGGCAGAGTGCACTGATATGGGTTCCTTTAAAGGGTGGCTATATTTATAGGCATTTCACCAATGAATAAATAATTTATGGCATCAAAAGCACCTGTAATTAAATGCATTTCTGCCAATAAACATCTGCAATGCTGTTGTCTGAAATCTGTATCCTGAAAAATGGAAGTGTATTGACAATCCCACTGCATGACCCTTCTGCCACGGGATACTCTTTCCTGGCTTTTAGCAAACAAAGCACTGCACTTTTGTCCTTCCCTAATCATCCAGAGAGAAAAATCAACAATTTAACTGCAATATAAACATATTTCTATTAAAACAGCCCCAGCCCTTCATGCACAGTGTTGGTAAGAGCATGGAACTGGAAACAGAGAGAGAAAATAAAATGCTTTTAAAGAACCTCAGGAAAAACAGACTCTGGCATGATGGATTTCCTGAAAACTGCCTGTGCTTTTATCCATCAGGAAAAGAAACGACAGCAAGGAGGGCTCTGCTGCCCTGGGAGATAAGCCCCATGTCACACATTTCACACATTCAGCACCCAAGGGATGACAGCCACTGTGCTGCTCTTTGGCATTTCTTCTCCTTTAACTTTTTATCCTTTGAATTAAATAAAAAAAAAAAAAAAAAGTTATTCCAAAGCACATTTTCCTCCCAAGGGTGAGTTCCAAATTAATCCCAACTATCACTCACACCCTGCAGTGTAAGTTCAGCCTCTAAACTGGGGGGGCCTTGGCCAGAAACACCAGCAGGTAACTCATGTCCAACCCGAGAACCTCAGCAGTAGTTCAATTAAAAACTAATCCATCTGACTTTCCACTGAACAGAAAAGCAGCTGTGACGTCGGCTAAAGCCCAGGACAAACCCCGGGAGCATCTCTGAGCTCCAGGTCTGAGGGTGCTCCTCGGCCCCTGCCCTCCAACCAGGGGGTGAGCAAGGAACCCAAAGGGACTCCGGGCAGGAGATCACCCCAACAGCATCTCAGCAGGCTAATCCACATTCAACACAGATCATTAAATATGAAACAGCAAAAGGAGCTAAGCCGTTAATAAAGTGCCAAAAATATAGGAAATACTGACAGCATTTTATTTGATTAATTTTATAATAGATCCCAATGACAACGCTTGGCAGGATGGAGTGACTTCTGACTTCTGAACGCTGTCTTTATCCAGCAAAATTACATGACTCAAATGGAATAATGGAGCTTAGAATTAACGGTTAGTGTTATGAAAGAAAGATTTCCTCTAGGGCAAGCTACAGATATGCTTTTTAAAAATCATTACAGCATTAAAAACTGGGCAGATGCTAAAGAATCCTAAAGAACTAGTGGGAACTAGTGAAAAGCAAACCAAAAATAAACAGGGGAAAAAAAAGAAGATATGTTTCAAGGCACTTACGTATTGCTTATTAAGAAGAGAGATTGACCTTAAGTGCTGCATTTGCGTGCAACCTGTGAATACAGTTCTGCTGTCGTACAATGCAGCCAGAGCTCTCAGTAAGCATCATGGAATGCAATCAGATAGACACAGGCACAACAACAGTTTGGGGAATATTAACTTAAAAAATAAAAAAATTAAAAAGAATCATCAAACAGAAAAAAACCCCTCACTATGGAGAAAGCTGAGAGTAACCACTTGACTGCATCCAGCACCTGGGTCTCAAATCAGCAGACAAGGACAGTAGGAACAGACTGGCAAGTGTATTGCCAGAATTAATTAAAAAACCCAACCTGAACCAAACAACAACGAAGAAAAAAATAAAAATAATTAAAGAACCTAAGAAAATATCTGCGTCTCCTGGGCAGAAGTTTTGCTCTTGGCTGGAGACGCAGCTCGTTGTGACTTGTACTAAGGTATGTGAACTCCTACCAGGACGTGTTTATCCATGGAGCTGTGCTTTGGAAGTCAGACCAGGACACTGGACAGGTACAGAGAGGTCACCCTTGGCTTCACCCCATTCCCACGGACTGGCCACGCTCCCGGTGGGAAGCCAGGACACCCTGGTGTCTGTCACTGCCACTCAGCCCTCAGCTCATCACACAAAGGGGCAGCTGCTCTCTCTCCGTTCCTCAGCTTCAGTTTGGCATCACGAGTCCCCAGTCACCCAAGGAGGAATCCTGAAACAGCTAGCAGTGAAAATCGGAAATAAATCCCTGCCTTTCAGCCTCCTAGAGCCTTCTTTCCTTAGTCATGAGAAGGATGGATTTTAGTGTACTGATTCTTAAATTTGTGAAAACTTGCGCTAAGTGCTGCTGTCGCATGTTAAGAGACTGTAAATGAAATACATAAGTTCTAAAACATCATGCAAGAAATGTGGTTTCACATCTTACAGTCAAAAATCCTACTAATGAATTAATACAAGCACACTGAGGTGTAATATTGGGAACATACCTTTAAAGTCGGAACTCCTCTCCCCCATCCCTCCCTCCCCCAAAATCAGAAAAGTAATATTAATTAAACTTAAGAAGTAATGAATGCACCATTAAAGTGTCATCAAAAAGATGCTGACCTAAGACAAAAGTTCAATGATACACAATACGGTCAAAAAAGTCTTCAATCAATAATATACAGTATGACAACTACATCTTGTAAATTATACCCAATACTGCCGGCAGTCTATCCCTCTAAAGAATATTTGCCCCCTTTCATCCCTTCCTAACAATCAGATAATAAAATACAGCACCTATAAATAAGCAAAAAAAAATTATATATATATATATTTATATATATATATATATTCCGAAATCATCTATTGTTAGTTTTAAAGATATGGCAATAAAGGAGTCTAAATTAGCAAACTTGTAGAAGCCATAACTGATAAAACAGCTTATTGAAAAAAGGTGGCAGTAATGCACTCTATGTGTGCACAAGTACGTAAGAAAATACACAGACGTATAAAATTGCACGCACACACCCACGCACACACATCCTTCCACACACCTCTATGCTCACACATATACATATAGACAACAGGAGGAGTTAGAGACAAGTTAGAATTGGATTTGTACTTTGATCAGCCCTAACCTGTGCATAAAATAATGGGAAAAGGCTGTATTTCTGCAGGGCAGAACGGGCCCAACTGGGATTTGAGAGCACGAAGGTTTTGGTTTCGATCTTGGGCTGCTTCCACCCCGGTAAGAGCCCGTCTGGTCATTGCCATGTACTCTTTATCCACGCAAAAAAAGGAGCTTCCCACGACTAAATCGTATTTAAATCAGTGCTCGTGGTGGGAAGAGAGTCAGTAAATGGCCACCAACAGCAGGAAAAGGGCTGGGTCTGCGGCAGCTCCAGTCCCTCTTAGTGGTGTGTGACAGCAATCGGACACGTGAACTGCGTTCCCAAGGATTCCAGGTAAGCTGAATGTTCGGGATACGGGCTAGGCCCCCAAGGAGCAGGCTGAAATGTTACTGGCCAACGTTTTTGGAGCGATCTGTCTTTGCTGAAAGGAAATCCTGTACACTACGAACCAAGTGAAATGATCAAGTACATGCTGCTTCTAAGTTGTCTCCTAAACCTCCCAGATATGAGGTCTGATCAGCGTGCTCTGTGGTTAGAGGTTAAAAAGCAGATTATAAAATACCTAGATTCAGATTTTTTTTTTTTTGTCCTGATTTGGCCTAAAATGGAGTGTATTAAACAAATTCTGGGCTGCAAAAGACCAGAATCAGTTAAAGCTATGAAACAATGTGCACTACGTGTCAATATTCTATTTCACTTACAAGAAAACACTAAGTCAGCTACCACAAATTAAGATATTTTCCTGATGTGACTTTTTTTTTTTTGTTTTGTTAAAAAATATGTGGAGTAAATGTGTTTTTTTTTTTTAATTCAAAGTTTCAAACAACAAGATTCTTTTCTTTTCTTGAAAATATGTAGGAATCCAAACTAGTGTGTTTAGAGTCGGTTGACTGTGCAATCTCTTAGTGGCAACTGAACAGCTACAAAAAACTTTCTTTTTTTTTCTTTTTCTTGAAAAATCTCCCCTTTTTTCCTGGTTTAAGAAGATAATAGTGTATTATCGCTCTGTAGCCATTAGATGGCAGATAAAAAGCCCCCTTTTAATATGTGGGTTTGATTTTTTTTCTTAAGATTTTTTTTTTTTAGGTTTTTTTTTTTTTTCCTGTTTTTCATTTTTTTAAAGCCCCACACCAAAGAGGAGGGCACAAGGCAAAGCTGTATGAGTTATTCCAGAAATTGTGGAAATCACTTAGGGCAATAATAAAAACACTTCAGGGTACAAAAAAGCTTGACTACACATTTCAGTTTTCTTCCTCGAAAACACAAACATAAATTGGGCTTAACGCTCCTTTTTTTTTTTTTTTGATTTCTATATGCACCTTGGCCTATGGCGTTTTTGCCCTGTGGCCCGCAGGGCGGTTAAGTGCGAACACAATAAAACCAGTAGAGGTCCAGTTTGACTTCCCAGCTCTCCCGAGTTGGGCCAGTTTAATCTCAAAACTCCCACTCCACGGCCTCTTCCCGACTCGCGGCCTTCTCCAAGCGGTGGATGATGTTGTTCAAGTTGGCCGCTTTCTTTTTCCTCAGGGAGCTGTCTCGCGTGTTCCTGGAGCTCGCCGCCTCCGAGAAGCCGAACAAGCTCTGCAGAGAGTTGGCTTTCTGTGAGCCTGAGGCCGGCGTTGAGCTTGTACTTGGCACACTGGAGATTTTCTCTGAACTTTCTTTTGACTTGTAGGAGCTCTCCCCCGTAAGGACTGAGGTGGAGGCAGCTGAGGTAGAGGCATCCCCTTCCGTGGCAGAGTTTGGCAGTGTCTCCAGAGCGTCTCCCGGGCGCTGCGGTGCCGGCGGGGAGCTCTGGCGCGGCGCTCTGAGCCGGCCCTCGTCGTCGGTGTCCTCCAGGCTCTCAGGCTCCGCTCTCTCCGAAGGCCTGGCGCCTCGCAGTGCCTCTTCCCCCGCCTCGAAAGCCGGCTCGGCGGGCCCTCCCTGAGACTTGGCGGCCGCATTGCTGAACTCGTCCGCCTCCGGGCCGCTCGGCTTGCCGTCGGGAGGGCCCTCCGCGTCCACGCCGTCGCAGCTGTCCCCCTCGGAGCTGTGGGCCGCCCTGCTGCTTCTGGCTGAAGGGGAGTCACTCGACCCGGCCTGGCTCTGGCTCCCGGCTTGGATCTCCTCGATGAACAGCTCCCGGCGGATGCGGGACCTAGGAGACAGGGGAGAGGGATGTGAGTCTGCAGGGGCGGCAAGGAGACGCCCACCTCTGCTTAAAAGGCCCTTTCCATGCCACTAAAGATGCCCTTTTGTGGAATCATTAAGGCTGGAAAAGTCTTCTGAGACCATCAACTTCACTAAAGATGCCCCTCAGTGGAATCATTAAGGCTGGAAAAGACTTCCTTGACCATTGAGTCCAATTCCCAAGCCGGTACCACCAAACCCTACCGCCAAGTGCTGCATTGACTCCTTGTTTGAATGCTTCCAGGGGTGGTGACTCCACCACTTCCCTGGTGAGAAGTTAGTATTTTTAACAAAAAATATGAATTCAGTTTTAGGAGATCCAGACTAAAGTGGAAACAATTCAGATTTCTCCTAGAAATGAGCCAGTTTGCCTAAACAAAAAATGAAACCAGGAAAAAGCTGGACAAGCCCCTCGGTGTTCTCCTGGACAGGGAGGAGCGATGAAGATGAAACCAAGCCCATTGTGCTGAAAGCGCTGTGAGAAAGCCCAGCCTGTGACAGGCTGCCAGTCTATGAGCCAGTCTGACTTTTGCCTCATTTTTTATTTAAAAAATCAATTTCACAACATGAACAGTGACAAGCCAAGCAGTGCCTTTCATAGGAATGACTGCACTCCATGTGGGGGTAGAATTGCCTGGTGTGCAAGGATACCCCAAACACACCATCTCTGCCATTTAACTCAGGCCTTCCTCCCTCTTCCTTCTCTGTTTAGGAGTTCCCAAAATCCTCACAAGTACAGAAAAGTTTATGGAAAAACCTTAGGGTTTGGAGTAACCCCTTCTCTATCCTGTTGCATCCATAAACACAATTTAAGTCCTAATTTATAACCAAGAGGGAGCCACAGTGATCCGGGGTCAGGGATGGGACCACAGGCCTGGGGAGAGTTTATCAAGACTTACTATTTTTCAGAGTGAAGATAAAAAACTCTTGGTTTCAGCCACAGGGAGCTGCCAAGGGGCCTGCAAACCACACGTGAAACGCTGTCCCAGCACTGATGGCTGTAAGGATTTTCTATTTTTCCTTAACTGTGCTATGGAAGACAGCACACAATGGAAAAACATTCGGCTAAATGGAGAACACCACCTGAATACTGCTTTTGAAGCTAATGATCTTATTGACTTACTTGAAATGCAACAGAGTATTTCAGCAGTACTCGCTGACTCCACACTTTTGAAGGATTTAGGGGGTCTGTAATTTTCCCTAGGAGAATATTATTCACCTAACAGAAGCCCACAGGTGCTAACATTAATTTTCTATTACCATTAACTGCATGCATCCTGCAACATCGATTATCAGGCTCTATTTATGCCTAAAATCTCCCTTCATGGACATTGATCCAGAATCATGGTGCTTCTGTAACATTGCCCAGCTCAGGAGAGGAGGCTGGTAAGAGCTGTGTGCCTGTATGGCATTTAAAATAGCTCAGCTCCAGCAGGTACTGAACCTTGCTGAGAATCTGATCACAGCTCTACGAACATCAAACCCATGTCTGTGGAAATCCCTGGAATTCACACCCAATATATTGCTTCTGGAATCTGGTCTGACTCCTGATTAACACAGTAATTAAATTCTTATGGAAAAGAAGAACTGGTGACAGCAGCTAGAGGATTCCAGAGAGCATTCCTCCACACACCCTGTTGGCTTTCACCACTGGAACTCAAAACATCAGAGATCTCCTGGGTGTTTGCTGCAGCTCCCTGGACAAGCCTTCAAGCAACATCAAAACCAGCACAATACAGAGTTCATTGAAAAATACATTCAGAATTTAGGGTTAAAGAATGCTGGATTACAATTCCAGAAAGTCTGGTTTCGTTCCTGATGCCTCTGTAGTATCATCTCTGTGGCCTTACTGAATTTGTGTGTCAGTTTCCACAGGTGAAGTGGGATAGAAATTCCTCCCTCCTGCTTTATTTTTGTACCATTCTTAAGACATCAAAGCCTCAAACTCTGATGTGTCTTGTATGTGCTTCACAAGTATAAAGCGAGGGATATTCATTGTATATTCTGAGAATGCAAAGCCATAGACTTGGAGAAGTTTGCAGACATGTTGAAATCCTTTATACCCATTTATATTCTGAAGTGAATTATTTCTGTGCCTGCTGAGGATATTTTTTTCAGCGTTTCTTTTTGCTGCAGGAAATAAATGCTAATGCTGACTTTCCATCTGGTGGATATGAAGGTAGATCCTGCTGTAACAACCACCTTTGGAAAGTGAGGTTTGGGCTGAATCTGAAAGGAAAAGCATCACTGCAACAGGATTCCCAAGAGACAGCAAGACAAGCTTCTCCAAATCTGTGCCCTCCCTCACCTCAAGCTACAGAAAAATTAGTATTAGATCACAAGCAGATGTTCTGAGATGTGAAAGTGCTTCTGTATAAAAAACTTTGCAGTTTGTAAAAAAAATGGCTGAGGGAGAGTATAAAAGATATTAATAAAGTCAAGTGTGGCCTAGAGAAGAGTGAAAGACCACCCATTTCTGATAACATACGAGCTGCAGAACTGTCAGACCCTGCTCCCCTCACAGAACATGGAACCTGTCCCTCTTCTGCAACACCCTACACATGATTTAAGATAAATTCATGCATGACAGCTAAGAAAGTTATTGTCAAGGGGAACAAAAAATAGATTTGTGTTTCGATTTTTCAGTGCTCAGAGCACACAGGGCTCCAAACAGGCTTGAAACAGCTCTGGAAAGCCCTGGAGTCGCAGCATCACATCTGGGAGCAGGCCCAGATCACTCAATGCTCAGCCTCGTGCTGCCCCCAGCCCCCAGTTTGTAGGGTTTGATTTTGTGTCCAGCTGTCAGCACCTCCTCCCCGGGAAGGTGGGGCTGAAGGCAGCGATCACCGCGGGCTGGCGGCGCCGCACGCCCAGGCAGGGATCTCGTGATAATGAGGGAGGTGACACCTGCCACCAGCGCTCCCGCGCTCGTCTGCCCAAGTGAGAACAGCACATTTTGCTGTCAGGCCCGAAGGGAACATATTTTCATAGGCATCCCTCCAACTTGTGTATAATTGCCTGCAAGTGGGAATTGGAAGAAGCCCTGCGTTTGGAGAACTCTGAGCGGTGAAAAGAGGCTGCATCTGTACTGAATTCAAGGCAGTGAAATTCAGTGTAAATATGATTACTCCATTTTTAAAAATTTTGTATTGTTTACTATAAACATTATTTAACTATTGTGCGCAATGTTTCTGAGATAGCTCATTAAACTCTGCTGCTTTTGCTTCAGCAACTTCCCCAGTAAAAGCTGAGAAGGGCCAAAGTGAAAAACTACCCTTTAAATGTTAGCAGTTTTTAAAAACAAACAAGTTTAGCAATCTGGACTAATTAGGAACATTATTGGCTCCGAGTGAAGGAGCAGAATAGTATTAAATCTGGTAGCTTAACTGTACCTGTTCAATATTCATTAGCACAAATTTCTTGGAGAAAAGTCTGCTGCATTAATTAGGACTTCCAATCCCAAGCATAGTTGATAATATGTTTATTCAAATCCTTATAATTCTTATGTGCTGTTCCACCTTGTCTCCTTTTATCGCTGCCTCTAGGCCAAAACCTACTTCAGGGGTTCAAATGTGGAGAAGGTTCCTCCTCAAACAAGAAAGGAACTGAACAGACCAACATTTTATTTCAGTGGGACTTGATGATTTAATCATAACAATGACATAAATCACAGAATTTTGGAATGGTTTGGGTTGGAAGGGACCTAAAAGCTCACCTTGTTCCACCCCCTGCCATGGCAGGGGTATCTTCCACTGTCCCAGGCTGCTCCAAGCCCTGTCCAGCCTGGCCTTGGACACTTTCAGGGACCCAGGGGCAGCCACAGCTTCTGTGGGCACCCTGTGCCAGGGCCTCCTCACCTTCACAGGGAACAATTCCTTCCCAATATCCCATCCATCCCTGCTCTCTGGCTGTTTGAAGCCATTCCCCCTTGTCCTGGCACTCCAGGACCTTGTAAGAAGTCCCTCTCTGTGGCCACATCTGACTTCAGGGTTATTGGTTCCCTGTCCTTCAGGACTCCACGAAGCTTCCCAGAAACACAGCACAAGCACTGTGCCTATTTTCAGAGCTCGGTGACTCAAGGCCTAAAAGAAAATCCTCTTTTTCTTCTGATGCAGGAAAATGACACAATGAAAACAGGGCAGTTCTGATCCAATAAAGGACATTTCTAAGTACCCCCCACCCAGTGACCCAGGGAGAACACCCACCACACGCCCGACACGTGTCTGTGTGAGTCAGACAGAGCAGCCTGGCCTACTGCAGTGGGTTTATAAATATTCATCAGTGGACATCCCTACATCCACACCCACCCCAAAAGCCAGACTTTCTGTTTAAAAGCACTACTCCCATCAATATGTGAGCACTGCTGCTCCTCAGGGATGACTTAAAATCAGTCTGGAGCATTTAGTACCGTGTTAGTGAGAACCTCCCTGCCGTCAAAGCTGCTTGTTTTGCACAACCACCCGCCACAGCACCTGCCAAAGCCAAGCCAGCACATCCCTCAGGAGCAGGGTAGCTCACACACCTGTAATTGTGGAACCAGTTGATCACGGTGCTGGTTTTCAAGTTGAGCTGCGTGGCGAGTTCCTCAATGGTTTTTGGTGATGGGTATGGCTTTTGCTGGTAGGCTCTTTTGAGAGCTTCTTTCTCCTCTGGTGCCAGCACCACCCGGGGCTTCTTGAGCTGGTGCTGGGGCTGGGGGCTGGCACCCTGGCTGTAGTCGATGCCAGCGGACGAGGACTCACAGGACTGGCTGTCGCTGACGGAGCTGTGCCGCCGTTTCATGTAGGCTGAAAGAGAAGCACGTTGGGTCAGCCCTGGCTGAATACAAATGCAGAATCAATGGATGCACGAGCTGAGGGATGATAAACACGGGGACAGCACGTGGGAGATGCAGGGATGGGCTGCCAGAAGGGGATGGGAAGGATGGGGCGCCACCAAAGACCAAACACGGGGAGGATGCAAGAGAAGAAAAGAGGAAAAATCAGCTGGAAACCTGCCAGAGTTTTCTGTCTTTACAATGAATGTGGGACACCAATGACAGGGTTCAGTTCACATGACTCATTGCAGATTCACTCCTTCAAGAGGAGTGAACTCCCACACAAGGTCTTGACTGGGACAGTTGTGCTTCACTTTGACTGAAAGGGGTTTCGTGGTTAAAACACTTCAGGTGTACACAGAGTTCTCTCTGACACTAAGGAAAATACGACTGTGGAAGTGGAGCTGCAGCATTCCCAGCCTTCCCAAGACATCCCCAACACACGATGGCGCCTGGAGCTCAGAGATTCCAGGGATGGGCTGAACAACTCGTCAGGCGTTTGCTGCCTTTCCCTACAGCTCTCTGCTGTGGCAGTGACAGGTTATGAAAGAAAACCAGCCCCCAGCAACCTCCTCCCTTACAAAAAGCTCCTTCCAAAACACAGACACTTTTAAAAAAGCTCTCCCTGCACTGATGGGCTCGGTGAAGCTGATGGCAGGAGCCTGTGATCCTGCCACTGACCCTCCTCCCTGACCAGGAGTGAATTATCCTGGCAAATTCCACAAGGAAGGAGTCCCAGCAAAGGCTGTCACTGACTTGATTGATTTACACTGGGCATGGAGAGGTGGGATTTACTGCACCTGGCAGTACCATGCACAAGCATTACTAATGAGGGGGCTGAAAACAGCAACTATAGATGATTCTTGTCAATAAAATATTTAATTGCCTGTTAAATACCTTCTAGATATTTAAGAGTTTACATATTCAAGAGCTACAATTTGATAACCTCGGGTATTAAGTTCCAGATTACACCAGCCTGACATCAGTCCAGGAGGCATTAAATCTCCAGGAGCCAGGAGCTCTGGTTGGAACCAGGGACACTGTGGGGCCAGTCACACTGGTCAGCAACCAAATTCTTCAAAAATTCAATTTTTCTCTCCCCACAGCTTTGCCTTCAGGCTGAGGCTGCACAATGAATAAAAATGCAGTGCAATCAAATAAAATGCAGTGTTCAAACCCCAGCCAACGTCTCCTGGCAGGGCTCCCTCCAGGACTGGCTGGGTTTTCTGGCTCCAGTGGGTTCCAGCACCCTGCCCTCTCCATTGTGCCTCCAGTGGGACCTTTGGCATTGTGGCTTTACTATCATGGAAGTGAATTCTGAACACACTCTGTAACCTTTGGGGGTATCTGCATGGCCCACATTTTGTTCTTCCTGAATATGACAGATTAGCTGTGGATTGCCTACTGTGTAAGATCACTGATATGGAACACAACGTGAGTTGCTCGTGATCCATCACTCTGACGTGATACAATCCTGCACACATTTGAAATAACCATAAAAAAAAAGGTTTTGTTTTTTTTTTTTTAAAAATCTCCTTTAAAAATCCACCTATCTAAGTTGTTCTAACCAGATGTAAAACTGCAAAAAATCTGCATTATTTCAAGGTGACCCATTGGCCTTATTTTTGCAGCCTTCAAGGAACTGTTACAACCCTTAACTATGGAATTAATCATTCCAACAAGATAATCTCATATTTCTATAAGGTGTTTAATCTCCAAACTCCTTCCTGGCTGTTATTTCCAACTTGCATTGACATGCAAACTACAGCCAAGGCTCCCTTGTCTCCTTGCACAGCAGAACCAAGAGGCTGGAGGACAACATCCATCACCTCAGCTATGGGCAGCAGCTTCAGGGAGGCCACGAGACAAAACAGAACCTGGCATGGGAGACGTGAAAGGTGCTCAGACCACCTCTAATTGGAGTTTCTGGAATTTGGTCAGATGACTGAGTCAGCAGGAGACACACAGGGACCAGGATGGGCTGGATCTCCCTTTGTCTGCTCTCCAAAGGATGGGATTTCTGGTAGGGCAGAGCTCCTGTCTTAAACAGCAAAGGACAATCCAGAGCTGTGAGAGCTTGGGAAAAATGTCATTCCTTCCTCTGCTCCTGTAACCTCACACTGGGATCACAAAAGGTGCACTGGCTGAGCTGGGTTGTTCTCATGTCAATGGAACAAATTTTATATAAGCACATATTTAATTAAAATACAAATAAAGAAGAGGATGTCCCACTGTTCTGTCAGAGCAATTGTTTTCTGGAGGATAATCTATTATCAGGACATATTTCCACTGGACCAAAGGCAGAACTAGGACTCAGAATGACATTTTAAAAAGCTCTTCCATTTTAATTTTTCTTTTTAAACATATATTCTGTGTGCAGACAACATAAGGAGATCATTCAGCACATCTGCAGTGACAGCAAGGCTCCAACTGGAATCCAAGTTGCGAATACACTTTATTTTTGAAGAAGCTTGATTTTTGTCTGTGACCAGTCTCCACTTCTCAGGAGACATATGAAAAAAAAAAGGAAAGCCAGCTGTACTTTGGGCAAAGGTCTGAATTTGAGGCTGAGTTACACCTTTCCCCCCCAGCATCCACGTGTCCCTCTGGGAAGAGTCCCCAGCATGTGCCCAGCTATGGGTGCCACAGACACCGCTGCACAGCTGCCCACTGAGATAAAACAGAGCCCCTTTTAATATAATTTTTATCTTATGTAGTATTGAACAAGATTATTAAAAAGTGAAATAATGGGGAAATAAAGGGAATTCAATTTTCTTCTGACAGCAGTGCTGTTCTGTGAGGAGTGTGATGCTCCAACAGCCCAACACCCCAGAGGTTATGAGAAGAATGAACTCTTCCAAGGCTGGAAAGGTGTGCAAAATGTCTCAGCCTGGTGAGCAGGAACCCCCAGCTCCCTCCAAAGAGCTTGGTTAATGTACATTGCAAATTTTCAGAACCTCTTAAAAGGGACATTTATAGCACAAACTTCAGACTGGCAGAACAGAAAAAAAAAAAAAAAAAAAAGAGATATGCAGCTCACCTTTATCATAATTATTAATTTACTCTCCTAATAAAATGTGGCAGAGAAATAATTGATAATAATGTTTCACTGGAAGCAGACCCGGTCGCATTGTTCTTTAACTGACATTAGCTGAAGGGAAAGTTAAATTCTTAATGTGGCTCTGAAGCAATTTAAAAGGTTAAATCACAGGATCCTTACCTGCATGAAAGGATTTTGCAGAAAATAGAGGGCTGAATTCACTTTAGACTGCTCTGCTCTGAGGACAGCACTTGCACAGCTCAGGAGCTCAGTGCAGAGTCTTAATGATTTATGGCCTTATCTCTATTCAGATGCCATCTACAGACCATATGTATCACTCACTATTTGATAAGAATCCAGTTTAGAAAATAGTTTTGAAAGGATATTGTCAGTACTACTTTTAAATTATTTTTATTTTATTTTGCTGCATTATGGGCAATATTCTCTGTGAGCCTATAAAAATCCAGCTAGTTGACAATTTTATTCCTGCCATGTTTCTAATACAGCAAAACCCCTCATGATTCCCTTTGGTTTACAGTTGTAAGTGGGAAACCCAAGTGGATTTTACTCCCCATGGAAGATCATGCACAATTTGTGCTAAGATACTGCACTGCTTTATATTACACTGGTTACTGTGACAAGGGTTTGAATTTCTTCTTAAAAACCTGCAAGACTATAATTTTCCCAGAAGCTCCCTCACTGCAATTTTAAATATAATCACCAAGTTCTTGATCAAATGTGTAAATGCTTTCAGAACATCAGTCAACAGCAGAGCTTTCAGTGTACACGATTAATGATGTCTGTGCTAATATCATTAAGGGGTAGCTCCAGAGATGTATATATCATTAATTAGTTAACTGCTGATAATGGCAGCCCACGAGTCTCTCTTGTAAAATCACACAAACATACTAAAAACAGGGCTCTGAATAACCACTGGGTTTTAGAGATGAATTTAAAAGGGAAAGAGCTGGATAAATTTGCAGGATGTACTCCCTACTAAGATATCCAGTAACAACTCAGACCACTCACAAGTGACCCTGTTTTATGTGAGAATAACACACAAATTTCAGTGTATTAACACAATCACCTTCCCCCTCCCTATAAAGGCTACAAAGATCATTATTCTGCAATAGCCTTTTATAAAGGCTGCATTTTTCTCTCCTCCCAGCAACCATCAGTGCAGGACTGGCAAGGAACTTTCCCAGGAATCAATGCACAGTTCTTCCAGCCCAACATCTGTGCCCAGCTGCAGCACTATTAACTAATAACCCAAAGCCAGCTCCCAAACTCACATTTCTCATTTGGTAAGGCAAGTTATCAGTGATACACCAGGGCCTCAGTAATTATTCTATAGGAGAAAACAGCAATGATTCCCAAGCAGCTGGTGAATATTTAGGGTTTGGGGTTGGCTTTTTGTTGTGTGTTTTTTTTTTCTTTTTATTTTGAGACGTATCTGCTAGAGCAAGCATCAAATAAAAGCCCCAAAAAACCTGCTGTGAAATCCTTTTGCATAACCCTCATAACACTGGATCAATGCTGCCTCTCCACTATTTCTGGAGGGTTATAAAAGCCAGGCTGATCTTGGGAAGAGCGGAAGGCGTGAGTCAGCACTCTGCTCCCGGTTACCTTTTTTCTCCATGCGCTTCATGTCCATCAGCTTCTCCACGTTGTTGGGATCGTTGAGCCACAGCTGCATGCGGACAAAGGGTTCCCTTCCCTTCAGACTCAGCTTGTGCCAGGGCTTGGGGCGAGCCAGCAGGTCAGAGACAGAGCCTTGTGTCAGCCCTAGGATTGTCTCCCCGAACAAACGCTGACCTAATGCGAAATTGAGAAGCGCATGAATTGGCTCAGCCGAGACACGGAAAAGAACACGAGATCATTCCTCAATTACTCTGACTTCAGAACTGCTCCAAAACCCAGAAGAAACATTTAGGAGAATAAATGCTCTGCCCCCCACTAGAAGGGTAAATATTGAGCTTTACTTTAATCCTCAGGATCTGCCTGGGATAAAGGGAGGAGTTTGACACGTTTGGGGAGCGGGACCTTACAGTGAAACAGTGTGCAAAAATAAAATTAGGAGAGGAAAAATAAACTGAACTTCTAGCTAAGCAGGCAACTAGTGAGAGCAGTGAGGCTACTTAGCTCTTATGCAGGAGGGCAGTGCCACAGCTTTGTTCCAACAGGGCAATCCAAACATTTCCAGCAATCAGTAAACCAAGAGCAACACAAGCTCCCCCTTCAGCAATGGCCATATAAATGTCCTCACAGAAACATGTATGGAATTTCTGTGCTGTAGTATCTGTGGGGATCTAACTGTGCCTTACCCACTAGAGATAATCAGAATTTCCAATACAATTTTTGTTTTACAATCTCTACGGTATTTCTAGTTAAGTATACTTAATTTTTAGTTCTCTTACAAAATGCTGTCATCTGGCAGGGTAAAATCTGCAAATGCTTTACAGTGTACAGTGTTTGTATGTGCAATGCTGACAATGATTTTACATGGGAAAAATCTAACTTATCAAGGATTGGGGAAAATGCCTGTGCAGCTCAAACCCAACCACACAGCTGGTTTTCTAACCCCCTTCACCTCAGTGTTCCTCCTCAGCTGAACTGCCTCAATACCAACTTCTGCTACAGGAGAGAGCCTGGAGTCATCTGAGTCATCAGGATTTAAGATACAAGTGCTGCTGTCATGGGATTTCAAGGTAACCTGAAGATCTTTCCACAGCCCCCAAATTTGGGCCTCAGGGTCTTGTGTCTGATCTGCAGCTTTTGAGTGCCCTCACTACCACACAACAGAATATTCTCCCTTCACATCCCAGCAGTGGTAACCAACAGATCCCTAAGGGACAAGGGGATGAGTGGTGGCTTCTGACCCCACAGCTCTGCAGGACAAGCCTAAAAAAAGCACCAGCAGCTCTTGCCTTCCCTGCTCCCGATACAGACAGCTCATGGCAAATATCTGCTCTGCAGACCCATCCCCTGTGCTTAACTCCAAGATTCCCCTCCTCCATCTCTTTAAAAACATCCCAAGACTTTTGCCCTGATGGGTTTTTTGGGTTTTTTTTTGCCTGTATGGGAAGAGGAGGGAATATGGGACCAGTCAGAAGCTGCAGAACATCCCACTCAGATGTGTGGGGCAGGTGGGGCTGCAAAGCTTTCAGAGGAGGTAGCTGAGATCATGGGAAGCAGAGAGGGGAAAGGAGAATAGGGCTTAACATGACACTCTGCTAATAAGCTCTAAAACTAACCCTGAAAACAGTTCTTACAGACTGAACAGAAACCTACATTCAAAATACACTCCAATCCCTGAGTAACAAGATTTTCCACTACCCTCAGTATCAGGAAAATCAGACAAAAGAGGTAATTCAGGGGCAATTTTATCAATTCTATCATCATGTTTTTATCACATGTATTGCTGGGGTAACCTGCTCCCTGTTTGTATTTAAAAACATCAGCAAGGCCTCATCCATTTCCCTGTAAACCTGCCAGCTATTAGCAAGATAACACAGTTACTTTAAAAATCTGTTAAAATCATGTGTTGCCACATGAACAGGGATATGGGCACAGATTTGCAAAAGGGTTGGGAATGAGCGGTGCTGGCAGTGCTGCTGAAGGAAATGAACTTCAAACTACGGCCTAAAAATTAAAAATTCAAACGTGGAAGGAGGTAACATCATGTTCTCTAGGTGTTAAGAACAAAGCTAAAGATGTTTGTGCTGTCTATTTTATGTCAGGATATGGCAGGACAGGAGAAAACACCTGAAAGACTCCCAAGCTAAGGGGGAAGGTGTCAGAAATCATCCTTGGGGGTAGCAGGTGTATCACGCTCCATCTTCATCAGAGCACTATTAATAACAGGAATATTTTTAAGCACAGGTTTCCTAAAACTCCTCCCCATCCTTCACGCCTGTTCCCACCGATTTGGATCCTAATGGACAAAACTGTGGTGGTTTCATGGATAGTCTTGACCCTTCCTGTAAAATGCCCCAAACAGCTGAGTGCATCTGCTTCCCTCTGTGAGCTCTGCGTAGCCCAGCAGGGAAGCACTGAGGACAGTCTGACTTTTGGGGCTCAGAACATCAGCAGCACTTCAGTGTGAACACTGCCAGCATCATGTGCTGAAGCCACAGAACCTTCAGGGAATGCTTTGGGTTGGAAGGGACCTTAAAGATCACCCAGTCCCAACTCCTAGTGAAAAGAACACCTTCCACTCTCCCAGATTGCTCCAAGCCCTGTCCAACCTGGCCTTGGACTCTTCCAGGGATCCAGGGGCAGCCTGTGCTGGGACCTCCCCACCCTCACAGGGGACAATTCCTTCCTAACATCCCATGTGAACCTACTCTGTTTCACTTTGAAGCCATTCCCCTGACTGGTGATGCGAGGAGAGACCAACCCAGCTGAGTCTAAATTGTTCTGTAAACCTGTGGTCCTCACTGGCTGGTGACACTGGGACACCTCAGCCACCACCAGTTGCCTACAACAGGTTCACAAGGCCCAGTGGCCTAAACCAGAGAAACCTGTGCACCAGAAAACCTGGTGCACTCGCACACTGAGGGCACAAAAGGAGACATTGAAACTGGTTCCACACCTAATGCAGAGTTTGGGGCACCTTTCCTGGCTCTTCTGCTGCTTTTTAGGCTTGTCAGCCACACTGTAGGAAAACAAAAATCATGGGAAATAAAAAAGACTAAGTAAAAATGGCATCAAAGCAAATGTAAACAAAAATACTTTTTTTTTTTTTTTTCAAACCTCTCTGGAATACCAGAGCAGGTACAGCACTCAATAGCATTTTGCCCAAAAACCAGGAGCTTGGATCTGCAAACCCTTACCATGGTTTGGGGCTTTATCTCTACGTTATCTCCACTGAACAAACAACCACCATCTGCCCAAGCCAAATGCATGGGCAAGGAATTCTGCTGGGCTCAGTGGAACTCAATCTCATTCAGGGTATGTCAGTGATCAGGGCCATTTCCTTTCCCCCAAATTATGCTAGATGAGAACTTAGGACCTCCCCCATCCCAGTATTTTTCTCCCTTTAAAAAAAAATGTTAAGACAATAACACATTATTCTGTGTCTAGATGAAAAAAGGTTTCCTCACATATTAAAATAGAGGAGTTTTTACTTTTACAGTCATCATTGTCAGATGATAGGGCTAAAATTGTTCTCACTTAAGTAACATCATCAGTCTAAATCTAAACTTTTGGTCCTATTTGTAGTGAAGGAACAGAAACTGGCATTTCTGGAGAGTACCAGACATTCCCCTGGATGCCTAATGCAGGAAGGATGAATCCCTTGCTAAGACCCAGAAGCAGGAGCAGGTAACACTGGGACAGCCTTACTGCCCTCCTGCCAGAGCCCTCAAAGGATCCCAGAAACATTTCCCAAAGCCTTGTGAGGGAAATATGGGTTAAAGACATGAAGAACCAGTGATTTAGAGGCATAGTGACAGTATTAATGTGGACTTCCCATACTCACATCAGGTTACTCCCTGTGACTATTCCAAACAGTCATGACACTGAATTCAACAGCCAAAAACCCATCTGTAGGCAAAAGCAGCCTCAGCTTTGCACATCTCTGAGCAGAATAACTGAGTGGCCCTGTGCACTTATCTCAGGCTCATCTAAATCTCATCTGAGTCTGGATTTTCCCTCCCAGCTCTGCAGGGACACTGTGCTCCTGCTTGTGGTGCTCCTCCCTCTCCAACCACACTGGGCTCCTCTACTTCACCCAAAATGGGCCTGGAATTTGCAAGTGTGGGGGGGAAAGAGCCTTTCCCCAAGGGGAGACCTCACTGGCTCTGGGGTTCTGGGGGTCCTGACAGCCTGCTGCACTCGGTTTTGTGAGGTGGGAGCAGTGCCTGGCTGCTGAGCCAGGAGCAGAGCTTAGGAAGAGCGAGGGTGTGATGACATTTCAAGTAGAGTGTGACAATCTGGAAGGAGTTTTCTACCAGTTTAAAAAAATTAGGTATCTTTTTAGCAAATTAAAGCTTAGAGCAGAATGAAACCCAGGCATTCTCATACCCATCTACTGTAGCTAACAATACATGAACACTTAGACACAATTTTGGTCAAAAAGTGAGAATAAAATGATTTACCAAGATTGTTGTCCGTGAGCACTTCCTTGACCCTCTTGGTGATGCCATAGGTGTCCAGCTCAGGGGACATGGCCACCAGTTCTTGGATGCTGAGTGCTGAGTGGCCAGAGAGTGGCAGAGGGGTCGTGGATTGGGATTCAGATGCAGGTGGCTCACTGGATTCCTGGGATTTGCCATCCTTACTCGTCTCGATGGGGGGACAGGGCTGCTGTACCAACTCAGTCAGGCTTTTCACTGATTCACTGGAACTCATGGGAGATTCAGGAGCAGGACTGCAACTCGCAGAAGTCTTTGGAGTACTTTCTGTAATTAAAAAAAAAAGAGAAAAAAGTCCCCACTTTAGCATAATTGTAATGTTTTGATTGCAGGATATTTAACTTTCCTCCTCATTTATATTCTACCTACTTAAAGAAATGCCTAAGTATGCAAAATGCTACTTGCTATGACTTGGGTACTAAAAAGCCTCTTTTTCAAAACAAAAATTATTTTCTAATTTTATCTTGAGTCATCTCTGATTTTTTATAAAGACAAGATGTACAAATACAAATAAAAATCAGGAAAAACTGAAGTGCAATAGTCTGTAAGTTTGCACACAATTTCCTTGGTCAGGAAATCTCAGTTTTGCTTGCCACAACATTTTTATATAAGGATGGTTTAAAAGCTACCATTCTAGACTGGTTTAAACCTCCTTCTGTGACTTGTAAGAACTGTTTTGTTCTGTCAATGAGGGATTTTCTACAACTGATACAACTCTCTATCTCGAGAATGTTATTGATTTCACTTTGTTTCTTATCACACACATCACAATTTTTGCAATTCTCTTTGTCCAGAAATAACAAGATTAAAATACAGTTTGTAATTATGTTGTATTAATTAAAGTGTTTGAGAATCCAACATAAAGATAGTGAGTGGATCAGACACCCAAATCTATTATTGTGACACTTGGTTTAAAAGAAAGCTTTTCCAATCTGTTAATTTGCCAACAACAATAGGTTCTGTACAAAATGTTGTTTTCCCCCCAATAAATTTATCTCTCACAGAACGTACTGACTGAGTTTATTCAGAGATTCCAGACATCTGAGGGTACAGCCTGAACCTTTTTTAAAGCAACAACACAGAGGCAACATGGTTTACAAGAATAATTCAGGAGATAAGAAGCACAGGCGATTTCTCCACCCAGAGCTTTTCCCATTTCTGTGGGGCTGCTTCTTGCTCCTTGCTGTCTCCCACCCATTACTTGCCAGGGTTAATGACATGGATTCCAGCCTCACACATCCATGGCTTTGGCTCCAGCTGTCTGGAGGAAGCTGACAGAGCTCTCAGCTGCACAAAGAGGAGGCCAGACCCATCCAAACCCAGTCCCTCCAACAGAGCCCAGAGTTTTCTGAGCCCTGCAGTGCCACCACAGAGGATTCTCAGGTCCCATCAGGCAGTGGCTGCCAGCAAACCTCACTGGTTTTTGAGTTTGTTACCCAGAATATTGTCAGATCGTTCCAGAGCATGCAGTCTGTGTAGTGTGGAAACACATCCCAAATATTGAAGGAAAGTATTACCACAGGAAAAGTCAGGCCCAAATGGAGCAGAGTGCAGAGGATAATGGTGTCTGTTGTTCAGGGTCCTGGGAGCTTTCCCATGCTGCATTCAAGAGCTTCCCTGACACTCACTTGAAGTTGCTCTCTCAAACCTAAAAATCTGACTTTTTCCCTTAGTGCTTTACATGAGATGCAGAAGAGGAAGACAGAAAGGAGAGTGAGGTGCATGTAAATCTTTAAGGTAAAGGGGATCCTACAAATCCTATTTCTTTTCTCTGCTCACCCTGGGTCGTCATACAACCGAACAGAAACCCTAGGAAATGTTATTTCTGTACCAGGAGCAGCAAAGGAATCGTACTGTAAATTTGCCCTGATTCACCCAAGCGAGGGACCAATTTGGCAGATCATCCATCTTGCTCACTGTACACTGTCAGGGATGGCATGAATTCCCTACATGATAAACAGATTTCTTCTCAGGTCTGTGTCCTTTAACCCACAGCAAGGTCAAAATTATGGCTGCCTAGCTAATAAACTGCAAGGCACTCGTTCAACTTCCCTCTAATTTTGTCCCTTGTGCCAGCTTATACAAATCTTACTGAATAACTAGAGCAGCTGCAGATTTCCTATACAATTCCTCATCCGTGCACACGGAGCACAGGGGAAAAAAAAAAAAAAAAGAAAAAATAATATAAAAAAAAAAACCCCCCCAAAAA